GGCAGCACAGAGAGAAGAAGGAGCTTTTATACCATTCTCTCAGCGTCCCCAGGAAGTTGGGGCTTGTAAAAGTTCATTTGGTTTCCTACAATTTTCTTTTGTCATTCAAAAATAAAGGTTCTCCACTCAGCAGAAATTGTCACCTTGGCACTCTGAGGTGCAATCATCATGTCACCACAAATAAGCTACTGGATTATCTGTTCATCTTTTCAACTCCAGGTCAAACGCTTCTGTTTATCTGATCTTGGAGAAGTGCCACTGCCACAGGGTGGGGATAAAGGTGAGATCAAAGCTAGGTAGTTGTCCTCAGTAGCAACTCCACGAAAATGATAGCATTTCCTTGAATCAGCACAGAATACCTTTGACTTCAAGGTGTGGAGCTTATGACTCTGCAATTATTCCTTTTTTTACATGAGAAGATGGTGTTCTCAAGGTCTTCTGGAAAACCAGTAACTCCAGTTCACTCTAAATCTGAGGCCACCTGCTCCAGGTTGACTTTACTCTTAAGTAATGTCTGGAGGGAGAAGCATCTTGGAGGTCCCATCCCCAACTCCAGAACCTCAAAGTTGAACTTTATCCATGATGCCCCCCCCCCTTTCTGAACTATCTAACCCAAACATTTTGACTGACCCAACTTTAGTAAGCTTTCATGGAGCCATAGAAACTTATCAGTTCCGGAGCACATTTGAAGTAGTGTGAAGATCACATACTGATGTGGCTACTCAAGTTCTGTTAACAATGGTTTGTTCAAATAAATTGATTAACATGGCTTAGCAGGGTAGATAAATCCCACTCTGCAGTGATATCTAGAGGAGGAAGCATCCTGGAGGTCCCATCACCAATGGAGTGGTGCCCCCAGAACCTCAGTGTTCACTCTTCTTGTGATGTTTTTGTCACTCCCAGAACCTCAAAGTTCAACCTTCTCATAATGGTCTTGTTACCTCCAGAACCTCAGTGTTCAGCCTTCTCATGATGGTCTTTTCACTTCCAGAACCTCAGAGTTCAACCTTCTCATGATGTTCTTGTCACCTCCAGAACATCAGAGTTCAACCTTCTCATGATGTTCTTGTCACCTCCAGAACATCAGAGTTCAACCTTCTCATGATGTTTTGTGTCACTTCCAGAACCTCAGTGTCCAGCCTTCTCATGATGGTCTTGTCACCTCCAGAACCTCAGAGTTCAACCTTCTCATGATGTTCTTGTCACCTCCAGAACATCAGTGTTCAACCTTCTCATGATGTTTTGTGTCACTTCCAGAACCTCAGTGTCCAGCCTTCTCATGATGGTCTTGTCACCTCCAGAACCTCAGTGTCCAGCCTTCTCATGATGGTCTTGTCACCTCCAGAACCTCAGTGTCCAGCCTTCTCATGATGGTCTTGTCACCTCC